AGTCGTAGGTAATTTTGCACCTCTGCTCACTTGAACTCTGTCAATTCACCACACGCTTTTTTAATCTATTTGGATTATGAGATTATATAGAGATTGCTGGAAAGTTGCATACATGTTTCCTTATTTTTAGAGATGCATATTTTGTATGATCTGTTTAGGCACCTAAGACTAAGATTTTGTCTATCAAAACCTAAACAAGATTTTCTACTGCTATAGCAGCTTTGTATGATTGGCAAGGGATTGAATCTCACTGCTGCATTGGTTTTGGCCCTTTCTTCACTGCTTTATAATCTCTAAGGAGTTCTAATCCAATAAGTCTTCTGTGTTTTCTTACATGATCCTTTATCTCATCCAATAACTGCTTACCCTTTTACAGTAGAGAGCTGGTGTAGTCCAAAACGTGGACAAATGACAAATCCGGTGGGGTTCAGAAAAAGAAAAAGAGAAGTTTCTTTGTTGCTTCATGCTTCATGCTTCATGCTTCCTCCCTTTCTCGTGTTCGAGTTTGTTTTTCGGATTCTGTTTATGAGAAAAATCTGTGAAATATCGTTCTTGTTTCGATACAATTGAAAAACAGTGCCTCAAAAATGCAAGCCCTTGCAGCACTGAGGCTTGAACAACGTTCTCCGGTACTTTGCATGTATGGGATGTTAAAATTGGTACGATGGCAAAACGCTGGCTTCCTCAGCGTTTTATTTTGGATCAAAATTTTTTTTAGTTAAATAGAAATTATTAATTATTCATCAGTTGATATTTTTTTTAATATAACTCATCTTATGTTTCTAAAGTTGAAAGACATATATTTTCGTCCGAATCTTAATTCTAACTTTCATTTTATGTTTCAGATATTTTAATATTAGATAAATATTAGTACATTTTATTTTATTTATTACAAAACAGGCCTAAACTTTAAAAAATATATCATTCTCGTAATAAATTTCTGAAGTATTTAATTTGAATTAATTAGTGAATAAAGTAGATGGTTGTAATTACACAAAAAGATCATATTTTCGATTAATGTCAGCGTCAAATTAGATTTTCCCTCGACATCAAATTCATAAAAGTTATTATTTATGGTCTCTAAAAATTTATCATTCAATCCCGATCTTATAATTTTTTCTTAATTGGTCCATATATAATAGATAATAAAGTGTAGAAGGAAAATATTTGCAAATGAGAAAATTTGCATTTTCTATTGAAAACGTTAATAATGGGTCTGGTTGAAGCCTTGAGGGTCCGTTTGGTTCACAGAATGTAAGATTACCAGTTTTAAGGATATTTTAGTTCAAAATACCGGTAATCCAATAATACCTAAGTGAATAGAGGTAATGACATTCCCAGTAATATACCCAAAAAAATTCACTATTGATAATAAACATTATCGGGAATGATATTCCCGGCCAACCAAACGGGAAAATGTGAATTCTATCATCATGGGAATCCCATATTCCCCGAACCAAACAGCCCATGAAGATATATTTAGTAAAACATGCTGATTTGATAGATATTTTTAACCCACACGTAAACTAATGAGTAAACTACAGCATTAGTCATCAAATTATTAAGAATATTCTATTTTGGTCATTGATGTTACATTTGTGTTTAAATTTAGTCACCTGTCATCAAATTAGTTTGATCGTGTATTTACTTGTCGATATTTATAAGTTCTCTTAATTTGATCTTAATTGTAAATAGTTTAAATCATTTTAGCCCTCACAATTACAAATTCTATCAGTTTAAAACTTCACATTTTTGCATTTAATCCTCGACAATTACAAATTCTATTAATTCCATTCTAATTCTAAACAACTAAAATAAATTAGCTCTCACATTTTTAAATTCTCTCAATTTGGTCCTAATCTAAATAATTTAATAAAAATAGCCCTCGTGTTTGTAAACTCTATCAATTTGATCCTGCTTGGAATAATTCAACAAGTTTAACCCTTACATTTGTAAATTCAATCAATATTTGACCCTCTACAATTACATATTTAGTCCCAACACTTACAAATTTTATTAATTTCATCCTAACTCTAAATGATTCAACAAATTTAACCCTCATGTTTATAAATATTATCAATTTGGTCATCCATATTTATCCATTAGAGTCCAAGTGAGAGATTGTTAGATCATATGAATATGACATGTATAGTAAGTAAATTGTATGATATTTACTATCATAGAATAGTTGGCACAAATTAAAGTGATCTAATACGATTAAGGTTAACTAGACTTAAATAATTAAATTTAATGTGTACCACGTACGTGTTGTAAATGGTTAAGAAATATTATGAATAAATACTAGGGATGGGCAAAATACCTAAACCCGACGGATTCCGACTCGACCCGACCTTATAGGGGCGGTTTTTTTTGAAATTTCAAGGTTTTGGGCAGGGCCAAGTTTAAGAAAGATTTTTAATATATTTTTATAATGTTAAAATATATTATTTAATATTAAAATTATAATAATTATTATAAAATTTATTATTTTAATTATTTATAAAAATAATAAATAATTATAAATATTATTTTAATTGTTTTAAATATTAATATATTCAGGTTGAGTTGAGGTTGTGATTTTAGTATAAAAATCGAGTTGGATTCGAGGCGGAAGTAAAGTTAAAAATTATCGAGGCGGGTCGGTGATGAGTATAGACAATATATTTTTGGGTCCAGGTGATGAGTTGATTAGAAATTAAGAATAATGTGAAAATTTTATATTAGGGTTATGGTCCCTATATTACACCCGAGTTAATTTTTCAGGCATCTATCTTTTAGAGAAAAAAAGAGCAACCATTTTTAAAATGCATGTATGCTAATTTAAAGATCAAAACACTATATTTAAAATTTCAGCATCAGTATTTAAGATATTCAATTTATATTAATCGATACGTGTTCAATTTTACATATAATTTATTATTATTAATGGTTGGCGTGATAAATATTTCAATTTTATTTTAATTTTTTTTATTAAGCTAAGGTGATTACAAAATATTATATGTTCTAAATACTCTAACTATTTGACAATGAACACTCAATCACCATGTTATAGCCACTGGTACTCGAACCTGTGACCTCTAGGAACAACAACAATTCCTTTAACTACTGGGTAAGTTGGTTTGTGCTTTGGTTCAATCTTAACATACAAGAAATGGTCATGCAATAAATTCTTATTTTTCAAATATTAATAAGATTGCTTTTACATTTGTAAGATGCCTTGTAGCATTACAACAAATTTCTATATATATTAATTAAAATATTAAAAAAATGTTTTGAGTAAAATTATTGATTAAAAATATTACTTAGTTAAATCAATGTTTCGCATTTTTAATATTTATTCATTTATTCTTAATTATGTATCGGTTAATAAGACACGTTTATTGTCAAAATTTTAATTCAATAGTTGACTTTGTTAATATTTTTCAAATTTAACATCAATATCTTCGTAAAATCATACTAGTTTCAGAACCAAATTATTATGATTTCAATAAAAAATGACAAATAATTATACTAACCTCAAACTTTATGGATATATAAGGACTAAAACGTATTTTGACCCAACCTTTCGGATTTTAGTAAGTGAAATTGAATACATTTTTTATCGATCAGTAAAAAGTTCGATACTTCGTATAAAGATTTTGAATTTAAATCCTATATACAATGAAACTGATGTTAAAAGAACTATAATGGATACTTGTAACTTAATTTTCAAACATAAAGATTCTAAATAACTAATAGGATTAGATATATTAAAAAAATAAAATTAGTTTTATTAAACAAAAAAGGTAAGGTACCAGACAAACACAATCTCAAAATGAAATAAAAGGGTAAAAAAAAAACCTTTCATTGAATACATGTTTCATCTTTTACAGATTATAAGTAATGCACTATTATTCAGTAATCAGATATGTCACGAATAAATACAATCAAATTATGAACCTGCTTATAGATAGTAATGTATAGCATAATAGCATAACACGTCAAATGCATCAAACAAGTTAAGGAGACACACCTATAATAGCTAATCAACATCGACTAAGACTTACGCTTCCCATGATCAATTACACTAGGTCCTGCGGAATGGAGACCTAAATCAAGACTACTCTATGAATATGAATGTCAAACATCTAAATGGAAATAATCTATAAAATCACTAAACAAAACTTACTCGTATATCGAGAGGAGCGGGTAGAATCGAGCTGAACAAAACGGGAGTGATCAGAGTCTACTAGAGAGTGATCATAAGATACGAGAGCACATTCAGAAAAGAACACCAAAATGTGAGTCCAAAATATCATATTTAACTTAACATAATTAAGATTTTAAGCGGTAAATGATGTAAAACATGACTTTTAAATCAGAATTTGACAAAACATAATGTCAAAACGGACGCAAGACGTCGACAAGCATAAAAATAAAAGTCTTCAAAAAAAAAGTCAACGGGTCAAAAAATAATTTTAATATATTAGTTTTTTGAGTCATTCACTAGCTTTTTGAATTGGATATTAAGTAGTTCGTTTAACCTCGTTAAGAACTCGAGTAGCTCACAATATATGGTTACACCAAAAAATAATTTTAATATAAATATAGAAATAAAGATATCATTATGATAATATTAATTATAATTTAAAATAAAAATAATATAATAATTTTAAATTGAGTTAGTGTTTAAGTTAACTCGTGACATCAAACTTAATTAAAATTTTAGTTAAATATAATACTAATATAAATTACAGTTTAAAGATAATTTAATAATTTTAAAAGTTGAGGTTTGAATTAACTTGTAATTTAAAATTTATTAAATTTTAATTATTAATATAACTTAATAATAATTTTAATATTTCCAATTTTTTAATAAAGACATCATAGATGTCGTTAGATTTTAACAATTACCGCGTGGCAACAGTACAAGAACCACAGCGTCAACAACAATTCACGGGCTATAGCATCCCTATAAATACTCTATACCTTTCGTAATGTTACCTCCTCGTTCCCTTTACGCCAAAAATTTCTTATTTTTTCTTCTTTTCTTTTCCCTTTCTGAAACTTAAACAAAATTATATGGAAAATCAAAAACCGCTACGGAATGGGAACAATGTTGACGGTGGCTTATTAACCTCCGTCGATGACCTCCGCCGTGAAGGGGATGGATCGGCCTTAATCTTCCTCGGAACCGGCTGCTCCAGCGCCGTCCCTAACGCAATGTGCCTCCTACAGCCATCCGATCCTCCTTGTCACGTTTGCTCTCAATCCCTCTCTATCCCTCCTGAGCGCAACCCTAATTACAGGTTTACTTCCATTCCCCCCTTCCTTTTGCTTAAATTTATGTATGTATGATTATTATTTGGCATACCGTGGTGGTGGATTTTGTTAACTTCTTCAAAAGAGAGCTTTCTCTTATATTTAATATCAATTAAAATTAAAAAGGTCCCCTTTTGTACCGAATTATTATATATATAATATTGCGGATCTGAACTTTTCCAAGCTTTTTTGTGCCTAAGATAAGTTTTTCGGTTTAGTTTCTTAAAAGATATTAGTTTTCCCCCCTTTTTGTTTTGATTTCGATGTTTCCCCCCAGGTGTAATACATCTTTGCTTATAGATTATTGTTCGACAAATGGTATTCATAATTATATTATAATTGATGTTGGGAAGACATTTAAGGAGCAAGTTCTTCGATGGTTTACATTCCACAAGATTCCTCGGATCGATTCGGTGAGTTAAATTTCATTTCTTTCCCACATTTATTGTTTTGGTTTATTTTTGTAGTAAATTATTTGAAAAATGGTTAGGATTTAAATTTGGTTTTATCCGTTTTATTGTTTTATATGATTTATAGCGAGTTAGTTGTATGTATGTAATTGCTTAATGTTTTTTTACTAATATAATATTTTCTGTTTATGATCGAAGTTCCAAGCTAGTACTCATTTCTGTATGCATGCAGATTGTTTTGACTCATGAACATGCTGATGCAGTTCTTGGTTTGGATGATGTACGTGTTGTACAACCTCATAGTCCTACAAACGATATTGATCCCACTGAGGTTTACCTAACTCAATATGCCATGGATAGGTAATACTATGCTCTCCTTTTGATTTCACGGGGTCATTGTTTGTAGCCTACAGATTGCTTGTTGTGCTTATATATCATCAATATATATGTCCTTTGACATGTTTTTTGTGATGCGAGAGGTTAATGAATTAACATGCTTTAAGTAGCTTATTCAAAAGTTTGGTTTTGGATGTTAGAATTGAAGCTTATTTCCCTAGCAAGCTATCAATAGAAGAAAGGATTTGTTTTGGGTTATGATATCTCTAGCAACCTTGAATAATGTTTACTTTGGTTCTCCCTAAACAGCATTGCCACAAAATTTCCTTACTTGGTTCAGAAGAAACTTAGAGACGGTCAAGAAGTACGGAGGGTGGCACAGCTTGACTGGAAGATAATTGAGGAGAGCTGTGACAAGCCATTTGTTGCTTCGGGACTAAAATTTGTTCCTTTGCCAGTTAGTATGCTTTCTTAATATAATATACTGTATCTACCTTAAAATTTATGTCCAAGTGCTTAATCAGACTTTTGATCCAGGTGATGCATGGAGAAGATTATATCTGTTTGGGTTTTCTTTTTGGTGAAAAATCTAAAGTGGCTTATATTTCTGATGTCTCACGTTTTCCTCCAAACACAGAGTATGGTAGGTGTTGCTTTTGCTCCTTTTATTGTTGGTGCACGTGCATTTACACTTTTATGCATATTTCATTCTTATTGATGTTAAATGTGGGAGGAGACTTCTATTTTCTACACGCTATCTTTAGTAGCTTGTCAATGTTAGACTTGTAGGAATGCATGCATTGGATTTTCCTCAATAACTTAACAATTGAATGATCCTTCAAGTATTGTTTTAGTATTTTCTTCCCCGAATGGCTCACAAACAGGATACTTCTTTATGGCTTTACTCAAATTGCAAAAGATAAAATGCTTACGGATCATTGCTTTATGCACTTATTCTGATCCGTTGATGCCTAGTGACTTGGTGAAAAGAAAGAACATGTTTTCTCCCTTCTAAGTTTTTGGCGTTCTAAGTATTTTCTTTATGCATTTACTTTGATCTGTTAATTTCATGAATTGTGTTTGATCGGAATATTATGTTTACAGTTATTTCCAAAACTGGTGGTGGACAATTGGATCTTCTGATATTGGATTGTTTATTCAAGGTATGTTACTTCCTTGGTTCTCCCTTTTCCGTGTTGTTGATTACTGCCTTCAATTGTTGTAGTTTGTGAATCGTCTAGGAACTTAAGGAAATTGAATGACAGAATTTGATCCACGCTGATTCTTCCATAACATATCTGCTTATATGCGAGTGCTGCTCTACCTTAGGTGATTGTTTAATATGTCGAATGGTCAAGTTGGGATTTGTTTTTGGGTTACAAATTGTGGCATATTGAATTGTAAGATTTGAAAAGCTGACATGGGAAAGGTTACTTTAATCTAATTTCTATATATGTAGTAACTCAATTTTCAGCAACTTAAAAAACTACTATTGTCTATTATAGAGGTTTTATGAACATCTATTTACCTTCCCTTGAAGATAATATGGTTTACGTATTTTTCTCTTTAATGATGATGGTTGAGATCTTTATTCCAGTTCACTCCAATGGATTTGAGGTGTAAATTACCGTGCTTTGTCTGTCAATCACTGATTTATGATTGTCATATTATTTATCGTGTACCTTCTCTGACTTAACATGCCTTATGTTTTCTACATACCAGAAAGGATCCCATAACGTCCACTTATGCTTACCTCAGGTTTATTCTAAATGTTCCAATAATTCATCTTCGTATTATTATTTTAATGGTCACAAACCAATCATAACTCACTCGCATGTTTTATTTTCAGACTCTCAAGGCTGTAAAGAGGATATGTCCGAAACGAGCTCTATTAATTGGAATGACTCACGATTTCGATCAAAATGAAGACAAAGAGTTGATTATGGAATTGTCTAAGAGGTAAATTGGATTTCCATCTTCCTTTTACAGAATTTCATGTTAATTGAAATTTACCTGAATTTCTCAGAAACAAAACAATATCCGACATTCTTTTTAACTGTATGTAGTGAAGGAATCGACATCCAAGTCCAACTCGCACACGATGGTCTGAAGGTCCCCATAGACCTATAGTGAGGTGAGCCATGTCCTTTGGAAGCTCATTCATGCTATATATCGTTTATATGTGTGTATATGTTATATGTACATGTACGTGTAGCTTTGAAAGCAATGGATGTAAATGTTCATACATGTACTTGTACATATATGTATGTGTCCTCGGTAGCTCTTTGCTTGTACTTGGATCGTGGACATAATACCAAGTACCCTTTTATCTCTTGTTTATGCAGGTTTACAGTAATGCTGTGATTTCGGGAGAGAAAAGTTCATGGTTTTCCATCCCATCCATCTTTTGATGGGAGAAGAAGAGCAAGTTATTATTAAGTTTAGAGTAAATTCATTTATAAGATTTCGGTAGCTAATTGGTTTCAAGAGTTTTATCATATACATAGTAAACGATGTCGTTCATCATTTTTTTTAGAAGTGTTCCTACTTGTTTTATTAGTAATTTCGTTTTATAGGGATTAAATTTTAATATTTAAAATAGTTCAGAGATTCTTAGCATATCTAAACCTTATATTACTATAATATTTATTTATTTATTCATTTCTAACAATCCACCGATAATCATATATATATATATATATATATATATATATATATATGATTAACACAGGAGAATGGTGTTAAGTAGCTTTACAACCTTATATTCCTTTCAATGTGCTTCTTAGGATTACGGCTAAAAAGGTCCTGCAGTGAACTTAACTTGTGATATGGTGGGATGTCGTCTGAGGGACGGTCTAAATTCTCGGTGAAGTCTGCTTACTGTTTGGCGGGGGCCTCCGGCGGTAGCAAGGAGCCTGTTTGGGGTTTAATACATAAATATTATGGGATGGCGAAAATCAAATATTTTTTATGGTTCATTGGAAAGGATCGTCTTATGACCAATACAGAAGGGGTGAGACGTCACTTTTCTTTTGATAACAAATGGTCGTCGTGCATGGTTACTGTTGAAGATACTCAAAGTGCAGGACTAACGTTGTTGGTTAGTGTGTGTTTGTTTCGGTTTCTTGTCCTTTGTTGTTACACTCTTATTGTCCAATGTACTTTTTTCCTTCTACTAGGTTTAAGAGAGTTTTTAACGAAGTACGTGACAATCCCTTTTCACCCAAAGAAATATTAAAGATAAAAGAATTATTTTTTGAGTTTTTCTTCTAATATTTAACAACATGATAAAAAAGACAAAATAATTTATGTTAACTTAATGACATCGTTATTATTATATGATATTTAGATCAATTAGATAAAAATTAAACTTTAAGAATAATAAAGAACATAGTAAACATTTAAGGACTAAAATAATTATACTTTTAAAGTTAAGGGACTGAAAAGATTCTTCTACCCTTTTAATATATTTGATTTAAATTATTCATACAATAAACATGGTAAATTTGCTTGGATAATGAGATAAAAAAAAGTAATTTTCCCACTTACTATATCTTCAAATTAAAAACACATTGGTCATATCTTTCCCTTAAAAATTAAAGAAACATTATATTTTTGACATCTTTTAAGTGACATTGTAGTAATTATCTTATTTAACATAGAATTCGTAGGGCACACTATGTGAAATTTATTTTTTCACAACATTATAAGGGCAATTTTACCCAATAAACATATTTATATTAAATATATTACACATCAAGTTTAAGCTAATATTTAACACTCAAGCAAATGATATTTGATATTTGATGATTTAATCAGGACATTTTTGAAATTAGGGACAAACATTGAATCTAGAGCATGGTTTAAGGACCTTTTGTGAAATTAACCCAGACTTGAAATAAGATGTTCAAATTAAAACAAAACAAAAACAAAATATTATTATTATTATAGTAATTGGCTGTGTTTTCTTCTTTATTTAGCTTCTGTAAGTAAATCGGTTGCTTGTCTTCTGTCTCTCCTTTAAGCGTGATCAATTCATTCACCTCTAAAATCTCAAACCCTAAATTTAAAAAACCCCAAAATTTCCATTGTAATTTCATATATTTTTAAAAGATTTCATCATTTTTTGGTGAATTTTGAAATTTTTTAATTAATTTCTATTTGGGAGCAATGGCGGTGTTATTGGAAGATATTGTAAAATCTGTGGAGATGTGGTTGAAGCTGATTAAGAAGCCGCAACCTTACGTTGACCCGAATTTGGACCCGGTTTTACTAGTCCCAGGTATTGCCGGGTCGAATTTGACTGCCGTGGATGATCAAAATGGGAAAGAAGAGCGGGTATGGGTTCGGATCCTCGGTGCCGATTATAAGTTCCGGACCAAGCTCTGGTCTCGTTTTGATCCTTCTACCGGTGAATTTTCTTTCTATTTTAATAGTGGAATTGTTGAAGCTTGAAAGTGTTTTTCCTTTTTGATTAAGTATTTTGGGTTTTTTTTTCTTACGTTCATAATCATTGGAATTAGCTATTGCGTGTTGGGATCAATTAGCTAAGATTTTGTTGAAAGAACTTTCCATTGAATTTAAAGTGTGATTTCTTTTTAATGAGAGAAACTTTTTATGTTTTGTTCTGAGATTTTTGGATTGATCATGTAATTGTTGTTTAATTGGTTTTGAAACAGGTAAAACTGTATCCTTAGATCCAAATACAACTATTAAAGTTCCTGATGGAAGATATGGACTTCAAGCTATTGATGTATTGGACCCTGACATGGTATACATGCACGCATGCATACATACATCCATAAATATATGTGTATTATCATGTAATGTATGATCCAAGAAGTTTTATTTGGATGTTAACCTCAAAAAAAATGAAATTTCTGCCCCTTAACTGAAGCTAGATTTCATTTTGGATGGAGTGACAATGAAATAATGATGGGTTTTGATGATCTTTTCGTTTTGATGCAAGATCATCGATCGTGAGTGTGTTGGTTATTTTCACGATATGATTGTTGAAATGATCAAGTGGGGTTTTCAAGAAGGGAAAACGCTTTTCGGGTTTGGTTATGATTTTCGCCAGAGTAACAGGTATAATCATTGATTAACTTGTTAATCGCTTCTCTTCCTAATGTAGTCTGGTGGCCTTTTTGTCTTTGTAATTGAATATTTTTTCCAGTGTGATGATAGTTTTTTCCCCCCTTTTAGGTTGCAAGAAAGAATGGACTGCCTGGCAGCGAAATTGGAGTCGGTGTACAATGCTTCAGGAGGGAAAAAGATAAATATTATTAGCCATTCTATGGGCGGCCTTTTGGTAAAATGTTTCATGGGCCTTCACAGCGATGTAAGGAATCCACTCCCATCTTCTTTTTCGTTATCCTTGTTCTACTTCTCCACTTTTCCCGTATCAATGTATGGTACTATGATTTAGTATTGTATGTCTTCATGATATACTGCCGCTTTTCTTCTGTAGATTTTTCAGAAATATGTGAATAACTGGATTGCAATTGCTGCACCATTCCGGGGTAAGTTGTGTTTGTAACTTGAGTAGAGAACAAGACAATTAATAGTTTCAATTCAAATCAACAATTTCCCCTAGGGAAATTGCGGAATTGTAAAGTATTACCTGACTTGAGCATTTTCAATTTAAACATCGTTCAATTCCGGATTTGGAAACATTATCCATCACAATGTCCACTAAAGAAACCAATAGTTCTGGCAAAAAGCAAGAGAGGATCTAGTAGTTAGACAGTTTGATCTAGTTTCGATTCAAGTCCTTATTGAGATGCAATTTAAATGTTTCCAACAGGTGCACCTGGATATATTGCTTCTACCTTTCTAAATGGAATGTCATTTGTTGACGGGTGGGAACAGAATTTTTTCATTTCAAAGTGGAGCATGCATCAATTGGTATGTGTAGTTACTTTCTAAATTACTCGTCATTTTCAGTATTTCTACTTAGATGCTCATGGAGCATTAACTCTCTATTGGCGTGTCCATCACTTACGAATGTAGAGCCTGTTAAAATGTCTCACCTCTCTCACCTAATCATGCACTCGTACTTTTGATTGGTGGGATTAAATGTTAATGAGTAATCTGAAATGATTATCCTACTCCATGTTGCCTTAGTTTGATGAAAGATTGTGATTACCTTATGCTGTAGACAGCCAGTAGATGCTACATGCGAGTTTATTGAATGCTTGTGTAGATTTTGTTATGCCTATGCTCTTCATTGTTATTTTGAGATCAGTTTGAATTGTTTATTTCTGTGCTGCATCATTCAGCTAATCGAGTGCCCATCGATATATGAGTTAATGGCTTGTCCACATTTCCATTGGCAACATACACCATTTCTTGAGATATGGAGGGAGAAAGAAGGTTGTGATGGAATTCCTCGTACTATTCTAGAATCCTATTGCCCTTGAGATTGCATTGATATTTTTAAGGAAGCTCTTTCTGATAACTCGGTAAGCTATGAACATTGATTGTGCAAGAAGTTATTTGTCTTAGGTGTGAGTCCATTACTAATAAATAAATAAATTGAAAAAGGAAAAGCTTCATTGAGAAGTATCTTAAGATAAAATAAGGAAATTATCTTCAATTATGGGTTCCAAGCAATCATTTGTGTTTTTAATTTCAGGTCGATTATGACGGGGAGAATATTCCACTACCTTTCAATTTGGAGATCTTGAAATGGTTTAAAGAGACACAAAATGTGTTGTCTCATGCTAAGGTTCCTTCTGGAGTTAAATTCTACAATATATATGGGATCAATCTTGAGACACCACACAGCGTTTGGTGATGCCTCTATTCAATTGTTTTGTTTAAATTGCTCGATGATTATTTTCGTTTCAGCTACAAACTTTAGATTATTTGTGTTATTTCTGTACTTTGGGTTCTGATTTTTAATTTTAATAATTTTGCACCTACGGAAGTGAGGAGACACCGGTTACAAATATACATGACTTACGGTTCTTTCAGGTGATTTTTGTTGGTGCTGTTATTCTAAAGAATTGTAAATCAGCCCAAATATACAAGACTTAATGATTTGATTACTGAATTTCTTTTGTATATCAGCCCAAGTATGTATATGTTGATGGTGATGGAACAGTTCCAACCGAATCAGCTAAGGCTAGCCTACTCCCGTTTTCTTACGTAGTTATTCCGGTATTTACCATATTAATTGAAATACAATTAACTGCGGAAAAAGTCTCATATTTAAAACGTTAGAATTCTTGCAATTTATGTATCAAGTAATCCATGTAATCTATGTGGTTATTCGAGTCACGAAGAATGTTCGAGCGGCCATAGTCTTTAGATTTCAGTTAACCTCGTCCTTTGATAAGCAAGTTTATTCAGAATATCAGTTTTGACTGATAAATGTGCATTGTAATTTTTTTGTATTGTGTGATTGAAACTGCAACGTCTCTAACTCGTATTTGTTCTTGTTACTTCTAGGCAGATGGACTACAAGCCGAAGCTAGAGTTGCAGTCCCTGGTGAGCACCAGGGAATTCTTTGCGAACTGCATGTATTCCGAATCCTCAAACAGAGGTTGA